ATTCCACTCAGGCATCAACACAGATGATTTACCTTTAAATTAGCCATTTACATTATACCAGGACCATCAAATTGTTTTAAGCATTATTATCCGCAAAGAAATACCTGGTTCACGTGATATTACGGTAGTTGTAGCTGTATAATACGTCAAGAATAAGTTGGCAACTGTGCTGCTCAGTGGAAAAATGGATTTTATTCGGTCTGAGACTGACAAAGCCACACATCCGTGGAATTAGAATGGACAAGAAAATTCTCAATACAGAATAAATTGACATCATATACATGAAGACTGTAGAAGAACAACACGCAAAAAATGAAAATGTATTTAGCGGAAATGCGTGATGCTAAGTGAAGGTGGAGCTAAATCCAGGATTAAAGTTTATAAATCTAGCACAGTCCCAAGGTTGGTGCACATTTCGTAGCGTATTGAAGGGGCATACACCAAAGCTTGCCCACACAAAACCCCCCCCCCCCCCGCCCCCTGCGCTTGAAGGTCCGCCCCCGCCAAGGCACCTATTCTTTCCTTGTGTGACCGATCCCCACCAGCAAGAAGCTAGAGGGAGCTGCAGGTATTGGTCTCACACATGGCGGCTCACGTTAATCCTATTAATTCTCTTGGATGGATGGTGCATATGTTCCTTAGGAAATTCAAGGATGGGTTGGGATGTAGGAAATTGACAGTCATCATCTGAGCATGCAGTAAAATAAAGGGACGAGTGATAATGGAAAGTAAGAGGGCAGGTTTAGTTTAAAAAACCTTCATATTAAATGAGTTCATAAATGAATGCATTTTTGTAAAGGATTTTTATGCCAGGGTTTTGGAGTCAATAGTTTGTATCATAATCTTTTTTGAGTCAGCTTTGTCAAATTGCCACTTGCTGCTCATCATTCAATGACAAGTAGCAATTGAAGTGATGTAATACTTCAGGTTTCTATGCTCATGGGATATGCAAAAAAAAAAAAAAGGACGCCCATCCGATTAGGTAATACCGTAATAGTATTCAACAACAATATTTTTCCTATGCTTCAGAACGCTGCTGGACCCATCTCCAAGACAAACAAAATGTTCAAATGCATGCTAATTCCTTATTAGGACAGTCAGGGTGAAGCCCTTCTGCTGTTTCAATAATTCACTTGAAAGTGGTGTTAATCAAGGTGAGCTAGCTTCTCTTGCAAAATCCGTATCCTTTAAAATTTTTTAGAAACCCAGGCTCACTGTACCTCCTCAGAATGCCATTCAGAGGGTATAAAATACCACCAACACTTGAGTAACTGCTAGACAGACCATGCATCATTATTGAGGTCATTGCTCTAGCATGTGGAATTAGCATATACTGTCCAGTACATTCAAACTCCCTCCAGCAGACAAGAAACCGCGTAAAAAATATATATATATATATAAAATTATATGCAAAAAAGTGTGTGAGTTGTTGCACTGTGCAAGTGATTTTTCCTATCACAGTTAATTTTTGCAGGGTGTAATTTGTCAGTGTGCAACTTCTTTGTTGTTATTCCAGTTAATTATTGGTGCTATCCAAGTTTTCCAGTAACTGTTGCATGCTTGGTACCAATGAACAGACTGTATATCCAGCGTAGTAACATTACGTATTTTCAAGTCTTCTTGAATTTTATAGTGTTCATGAATTTTATATTTCTTTGAGAAATTTAATGGCATTTATAATTGTTCTCTGATGATGCTTGAAAATGATGGAGCAACTTCAGTTTATTGTGGGAAACCAAAACCTTGTCATGTGATTTGGCTCTTACATATATTGGCAGAGTCTTTGAATGTTACATGATGCATATATATTTCATGACAGCAGCCAACTTTTCATGCCATTTATATAGAGACAGATCTTAGTTGATTGCATATAAAAACTATTGAGGCAGAATAAAAATGACATTGAATTGAAGATAATGATACATTGAAGGATAAGAATAATCTGCATTTTATAGTTTTCACAAGTCAAAAAAATAAAGTTGGGCCATGAGGCAAAGTAATCAGGGTATTTTTGGGGGAAGACACTGATGCATGCAACCTGTTGTATGTCAACTCTTCTCGACTTTCACTCTTTGGAACCCTTAATATACTAGGATGCTCAAATATATAATGCATCCTGAAATCAAAGATTTTTGGCAGCTCTTTAAATTTGTCGGATTATTTTCTAATTTTCTTCAGGCCATCAGGTCTACTTGAACGTTACTGTGCTGGTGATGGTCGATGGCGCTCCAAGACATTCAATATAATATCACAAAAAAGACCTTCAATAAAATAACACAAAAAAGACCAGCTGGAAGTTTCATGGATTGTCAGGGTGCAAATGTTTGGCACAAATGAATCAGTATTTCCTTTAATCTGTAGCTTCAAATAATGAACTCAGAACATGTAAGCAGCGGTGAGAACCAGAAATACGGCTAAGGACAGCTTGAATTAAGACTCCACTTTACCAGGGGTATGCTGTGCTTTCGGGGAAACTTATCCATTCCTTGTTGATATTGCGAATAATCTTTGCGGTGAATATTTTGTTTGTATTGGAGATGGGTCCAGCAGCATTCTGAAGCATAGGAAAAATATTGTTGGTGAATACTATTACCGTATTGCCTAATCGGATGCGCGTCCTTGACACTTAATCTTTCCCATATCCCATGAGCATAGAAACAAAAAGCATTACTGTACATCACTTCAATTGCTGCTTGTCATTAAATGATGAGCAGCAAGTGCAAAAGTAAGCTGACTCAAAAAAGATTATGATACAAACAATTGACTCCAAAACCCTGGCATAAAAATCCTTTACAAAAATGCATTCATTTATGAACTCATTTAATATGAAGGTTTTTTAAAAACTAAACCTGCCCTCTTACTTTCCATTATCACTTGTCCCTTTATTTTACCGCATGCTCAGATGATGACTGTCAATTTCCTACATCCCAACCCATCCTTGAATTTCGTAAGAAACATATGCACCATCCATCCAAGAGAATTAATAGGATTTACATGAGCCGCCAAGTGTGAGACCAATACCTGCAGCTCCCTCTAGCTTCTTGCTGGTGGGGATCGGTCACACAAGGAAAGACTAGGTGCCTTGGCGGGGGCGGACCGCCAAGCGCAGGGGGCGGGGGGGGGGGGGGTGAGTTCTGTGCGGGCAAGCTTTGGTGTATCACGGTGTATGCCATATTGAATGGTGTTCAAGAATTTCAAGAGGGTCATGCCGCTGATGTGTGAGCTTATCTCCCACACTGCGGAAACATTTCTGAAGGTAAAATTAATCTTTCTGACAAACTGAATAGGTGTCACTGGAATTCGTCCAAATTTCTTCTTGTTCTTTTAGGCATTGTGTAAGCTTGGATGCCGGCATACACCAGAACTCACCCGCACAGAAATCAACCCCCCGCCCCCTGTGCTTGGCGGTCCACCCCCCGCGCTTGGCGGTCTGCCCCCGCCAAGGCACCTAGTCTTTCCTTGGGTGACAGACCCCCACCAGCAAGGAGCTAGAGGGAGCTATTTATTTGAGCATCCTATACAGTATAGTTAAGGGTTCCACCCCTGTCCGTCTAATAAGGAATGCATTCCTTATTGGAAGGACAGAGAGTCAGGAGCAGAGCCCTTCTGTTTCAATATTCACTTGAAAGCGACCGTGCGTGTTAAGATCAGCTTCACTTGCAAAATCCGTATCCTTTAAAGAATTTTTAAAATCCGAGGGCTCACAGCACCTCCTCTGAATGCTGTTATTCAGATGATATAAAATATACTGGCATCCAGCATGTAGTAAGTGCTTGACAGCAGACCATGCATTGTACTGTATATAGTCATTGCTCTATATGGAATTAGCGTATGCTGCATTATCAAACTCCCTCCAGACAAGAAACAATCGGTAATAAATGATTTGAAAAAATTATATGCAAAAAAGTGCATGAGGAATTATTGCACTGCGCAAGTTATTTTTGCTATCCCATTCATTTATTTTTTCAGGGTGGAAGTTTATAGGCAGGGTGCAACTTATTTGTTTGTTATTTCGTTTGTTGCTATCCAAGTTGTCAACGGCGGCTCCCTCTAGCTTCTTGCTGGTGGGGGTCTGTTACGCAAGGATAGACTAGGTGCCTTGGCGGGGGCAGACCGCAAAGCGCGGAGGGTGGACCGCCAAGCGCAGGGGGCGGAGGGTTGATTTCTGTGCGGGCGAGTTCTGGTGCGTGCCCCTTGGATGCATGATGAACTGAAAATTTATGAACAGGAAAAAGTATATGAGGATTTTTACAGGACCCGTCAGCCGAAAAAAGAAGCGATGGACTTATGTAAAAAAACGAAAACGAACTTAACATTTCTCTTTCATAACAGACTATGATATCATTTCTCAGTTCAATCGATAAAATCATCGAATTCATGTGAACACTGTTCGCGTCATTTTTATATAGAATTTAGTATTCCCCGGGCAAGTGTGGAATTTCGTAGTGTCCTCTGAAAAATTTACAAAATATTTGAAATTGCGCGATTCTCTTTTCTTTTACCTTTTCCTTGCGTTAACGCTTTAAGTTTTTCTCTTACCAATCATACCTGCCGGTGTCACTAACATAAATTATTCCGAATTCCAAATAATAAATAAGAAATAAAAATGTATCAATGCTTTACAGCGAGTGCGACATGACATGCTTGCACGCGTATGATGAGACTGGAATGCTTTCGAATCAATGGGAAAGTGTCAAAGGTTACTGCCCTCATAAATTTATGCCTCATAAATTTAGCTATTTAATCGATAAAATAAAACTATAAAACCTCAATAGTGTAGCAGTGGTTCAATGATAAGACAAATTTCAGCTAGTTACCAAGGCAAAGCAGGTGATGCAACAGCGATGCTGAATCATCGAAGCTTCGTAAAACATGGCATATGTCGAGATTATGATTTTGAACACGTGATTTCGGAGCTCAATTTGAAAGGATTGAATATACCAGCAGCCTATTTTTTCAATTGTTGATCCTATAAAAACCAGGGAATGAATCACAAAGAATCCTTCGATCTTATTTAATAAACCTCCATTAATCACTTTTTCAACAGGTGCAGAAGAAAAGCGTTGGAACACGTACAAACATCCTTTTTGCATGAAAACGTTCAAAAACAGAATATTCCCGTCTCATTTTTCCGAATTTCCTTTCTTTAAAAATGGCCGGAAAATGTGTGACATCCACGAAATGTCTCAGTAGCCTCGCTGCTCAAAAATCCGCTTTTCTCGCTGAAGTGCTCTGCACAAGCAAATCCCGAACGCCAAACCGAATAGCTGGAAAATAAATCCACACCTTAATTGTTATCTCATATTCATTATCGTGGTCGTTCCAAATACTCTCTGTACCATCTAAATTCTGAACTGAAACACCATTCTAATGAACCAGAACTTTTCATGTAGAATTCTCAATAGTATTTTTCTTCGTGAAATTAATTCGAATAATAAATCGAATGAAAACCGTATTGTATTGCAAGGTTCCCTCATGAAAACTTCCAAAAAATTCAAGTTAGAGCTTTAAAAAAGAAACCATCAACCATTAAAGCTTCGTATTTTCTGATTAAATTATTCATATGCTCGAATTCTATTCAAACATGGAGAATTTTTGAGGGCGTGATTTTATCGCGAAATAATTTTATTATTGGTGTTCAAGATATATTAAATGAAGTACGGCATTATAGTGAACTTATATATGCAAATGCTTTCAAAACAAGTTCAGGGAAATGGTTCGATTCCGTAGAAACCTGAAGTCAAGTACCCGTCGATAATCGAATTGTAGATAATCGATGGTGCACCTTGGATTGGATATGTGAACACTGTAAATCGAAAATTCCGTCAAAATGCTAAACAATTTGAATAAAGGTTGCGCTAGATGACAAACTTACTGACGTAGCCAAACAAAAACTTCGTTCAATCGTTAAAATTGGACCCTCGTTATTTAGAAAGAGTCCCTAACTTTATATTTCAATTCGAATGTAGAATTTATTCTTCATATTAGGTTTACCTGCAGGAGACAAAGTGTCAAAGCGATGCCGGCAATCCATCCGGACTTGGTTTCCATGTACCAGGCAAAGACTTCTGAGCACCCATCTTTATAGACGTTTCCAGTAACTTTGTTCCTACACTCATGAGGAATTTCTTTGCCCATCCGATCGTAGTCCATTGGGCCTTTCGATCCGCAGCAACCAATCTGCAAAAAATGCAAAGCTTGATGGTCAAAAACATCCGAACGGACGAGATACAGTTTGATCTCAAAAAAATCAAATCTCCCCAAGTCACATTGTTTTAGACAATGCCTGAATACCTTTCTCCCTATATTACTCGAGGCTTTATACCAAAAATCTCAATAACTCAAATTTCCGCAGGCCTTTGGGGCACTGCTCAAATTATCCACAAAAGAGAAGCACAGGAAGAATGCGTCCTGTTGTTGGAAAAAAGAGGTGAGTGACGAATTAGGCAAATTAACCCTCACCCTCAAGCTCAGCATCCAGTCACCTCATTTATTTTGCTGCTTACGGCTGAAAAGATCGCCAATTTTTTTTTTCAATGCAATTCTTTCTTCTCATATCCAGCAAAAACAGCAATTCCTCTGCCTCAAAACGTTCCGCGAGTCAAATTATTGCTGGCCCTTTCAGGTTTGGCTTGAAGAAGTTTAGCTTTAAGTTTAAAATGTCCCTGCTTTCAGAATATTGCTGTATTGAAATAAATCTGGAGTCAACCCTAAGGACGAATAATTTATGGCAGTAAAATACTGCAAAAATATTTCTTCCAAGCCAGGAATACCGATAACAGTTCAATGATCACCGAATAAATCAGTAAAGGAAGGGAATCAAGGAGAACCCACATTACTTTCATGTAAAGACAGACTTACAAATTCCTGGATCATGTTCATGATCCTGCGAGATCTGTGTTCATCGTCATACTTCATGATCAACTGCGTAAAGCGACCTTTCGACCAGTCTGAAAATTTGGAGTACTCGATTCCGTTGTCCAACACATAGGCTGCTCCAGCTAGCTCCATGAGGAATAAAATGCCCAGAAATGCTGCATACTGAAACATAAATACATATGCAATAATCACATGTTAGCAAATATATTCCGTGACCTCAGCAAGTTCAGAGACATAAATTGAAGAAAGTGGGCTCAGCACGCCGAATCAAACTATTTTTTTTAAAGTAATGCTTCAAGAATTTGTCGCATAGAACGAAGAGGAATGTGATATCGAGGAATAAAATGTGATGCGTTTTTATTCGTCAATAATCCCATGGGAGAATTATTGTTTACTTTTCACTTACGGGGTTTGCGTATTTCAAGAATTGCCATGGATTTGCGATTATATTTGCAAAATCTTAATCTACTATACTTTTCTATGTTCGACATAAAAAAATGGAATCATGTGTGTAGTCAACCATTTATCGCAAGTTTAACATATTGAGGTTTGGTGATACAGTATAAAAATGTATGTCATTCATTTCTATATGTCATAGTCCCGCATGTTAGTTCTCGACATTTTTTAAGAAATTAAATTATGAGGGGGGTGAACCTCATCACATCAAGTTCGACCAATAATTATGGTACGATGATGAATGTGATATTTCTCTGCATTGTTGTGTCAGTGCTAAGATTTTATTTATTTTTCGAATGTGAATCTTATTCGAAAGATAAACAAATGTTATGAATAGTCCGAAAACTCCTCTTCTTTTTTTCAACAGTGTCTTTCATCCACTTCGTGTGCTTAATAACGGAAAAATTCTTGAAAAAAGATGTCCGGTTTGAACACTTTGATTCAATGACCTAATTCCTGTTGAAAACCCAAAACGTACATCCTATTCATTTCGACGTGTTCCTTCGAGCTCTCTTGAATATCCCAGTTGGCCATATGACTCATGGCGGGTAGTCACGATCATGGCCTTGAATATATGACCACTATGTTCTGTACAGATTGTACTCGTATTTTTTTCGGATACAGTACTTCGAGCTGTACAGATCGTTCTCATATGTTTTCCAGTACTGTATATCCGAAAAAATGGTTGAAGTTTTTTTCAACCATTTTTTACCCACAGCACCTCGAGCTGTATAGATTATATTCATAACTGTATATGAAAAAATGGTTGACAACCGTTTTTCGGATACAGTACTGGGAAAAATATGAGTAAAATCTGTACAGAACATAGAGGTCATATATTCATGGACATGGTCATGATTACTCATGAGTCATGAGTCATGAGTCATGTGGCCAG